GAAAAGACAATTTTTTAAAAAAACAGATTTTTCTAGCTCTATCAGAATATTCATTTACTGTGCACTTTTACACATTTTTTCTGTTTACATTAATTTGTGAAGAAAACTAAAAAGTTAACAAAAGCTTAAAAAGCAAAATAGCCAAAATTTCAATGTAACTTAACGTTCCCAAAAATCGTCTGATAATACATTTGAAAAACTTCTGTGAAAAAAATCTTAAAAGTTAGCTGAGCACAACTTCCAATTGTTACGGTCTGTAATTCTCTGAAGAAAAACAGCAGAACTCAAATGGCAACAAAAAGTTTAATCTGTACAAATTAATGAGGTAAATTGTATTCAGAGAACTCTAAGGCATTTTGCAGCGAGGAACGGACACACAGAAATTGTAAAGTTTTTGGCTAAGCATAAAACCGATGTGAATGCAAAAGATTGTAAAGAGGTAAAGTACTGTTGAAAGTGTTGAAGGAAATCAGTTAGCAGTTTTAAGAAATTTAACCAATAAATGTTTGATATGAAAAATGTAACAGTTTAAAAACTGCTAAGAACAAATAAATTGCTAAAGAAAAAAAAAGCAACTAAGTAAATATCTCAATAAAAAAATAATTGTTTTGTAGAAAAATAAAAGTTTTTTTTTGTTTTGTCAGAATTTCTTTACTGTGCACTTTACCCTTTTTTTATCCATACTTTCTTGGCTTTATGCTTTGTAGAATTATTAAGTCAGGAGTTTAAAAAATTTTATCAAAAATTGTCAAATTTTAAATTTGAGGTGAAGGAAATCATAAATGATCGCTGTTTCTAATTTGCTGTTTTCTGAGATGAAACGACTGAACTCTAACGAATGCAAAAGTTAAAAGCATTGAAGAAGGTCAGTTGATGGTCTGAGAACTTTCAATTCCAAATTGTTTGATGTGCGAGAAAAAAATGGTGTACAACTTGCTGAGGAAAATCTTTGTAAAAAATGTGAGAGAAGAAAAAATTGGTTAAACACTCAAAAAAAATATCACTTTTACATGGTTTTCGATTTTTTTTGTTCCAACCTTTCTTGTTTTTATGCTTATTTCTGTTTAAAATTATTAAGTTTAATATTGATAAATAAGTTATAAGTTGCTGGTTGAGACCGAGTTTGTATAAAATATTACAGTAAACGTAAGAAGGTAAAGACAGACACATAAAAAGTAGGAAAAAAATAAGTGAAATACAAATGTCGAGATCTGTTTTTTTGGTTTTTGTTCAGATTTTTGTTCCAACCTCTGCCTTTTTGATTTTTCCTTTTGTTCTTCTTTTTTCTTGCAAGTCTCCTTTCTGCTTCAACTTTCGTTTTTAAATGGTCTACATGTTTACCCCTAGGCTTATTCTTGATAAGTAATAGTATTTTTTGGATTGCAGAGGACGAAGCTGAAAGCGAAAACTTCAAGTAAAATATGCTTTGCTTAACAAACAGTGAAAGATTAGACTATTCTGCTGAATAATATAAAAAAGTTATTCTGCACATAGTGATAAGTACATATCCTTTCTTCAAGACACTCCTCTGCATATTGCTGCTCAGAAGGGAAATGTCGAAATTGTAAAAATTTTGATGCAAAACAAAGCGGATCCGAATCTGAAAAATGACATGAAGGTAGTTCATTTCTATAGGAGTTTAAAAGTGTTTTTAAATTGATTTATTAGTACCAAAGTTGTAAAATCTTTTTTTTTGGTTGGCGAACCGTTTGTGAAAGTTCAGTGGCTGTTTCGAGTAGGTTGAGGTCAGTAAATTACAAGCAGAAAAATTTTTACCGTAGTCTTTGTAGAGTTTTTTACTTTCTAACAATTAAAATTTGACTCAAAGACCGATCACTCAATGAGGTCGTGGCTTATTTTAGGTTTCTGCTTCCCATTTTTCCATGAGCACTAGAATTACCGAAGTCTACTGCTCTTTATGCCTCTTTTTTCCTTAGGAAAGCTCAAAAATGAAAGATTTATGCAATTACCACAGAAAAAGCACAATGAAACGTATAACTCTCGTTTAAACTTCAAAATATTCTTGTGAAAAATAATGCAGAAATTGGAAAAAGTCGCACAATACCTTCTCAACCTCTTTAGAAAACGGCTTTTGACGTCGCTTGTGGAGGTGTTCTCCGGTTTCTTACCGGTAGATTTGTATTTCTTTCTGGCTTTTTTGAGGCTGCATAAACCCTATCGAAAAAACTCATGTACGTCTAGAAAAAGCAAAAAAAAATTTAAGTAATGTGCTAAAAATAGTAATTTTTTGTTCTAAAATCGTAATTTTAAACGTTTAGCGTAAAAAAAGTTTATCTAACAAACGTTGCAGTTTAAAACCATGCTATTTTCAAAAAATTTTGCTTTTGTTTGCTTTTTTATACTTTGTTACTCCTGTGTAGATTTACCGTAGGAGATAAGAAAACAACTGCTTGACTCGACTAATACTTTGTGCGGCTTAGAGGTTCACGATTCTCAGTTTCAGGGAGACGTCAAGTGCCATACGAAGAAATCAGAAACATAGAACTTATCGAAAACGGAGGCTAAGGAGAGGTTTATAAGGGTAGATTTGGTGGCAAAAAAACCGCCCTAAAAAGGTTCCTGTCGAAAGAGAAAACAGACAACTATCACCTGTTTGTTCTGAATCACGTTAACTTAATTAGATTTTCGTTAGTTACCTACATTTATTTCTCTTCTTATTAAGTATTGCAAAGCATTTTTGTTTTTTAAGGTAAAAAGAAAAACTTATATTTTCTAAACATGTTGTAGTTTTTCAAAACTTTTAAAACTGAGTTTTATATTCAGAAAAAAATAGAAAAATTTTCTAAAATGAGTTTGCGATAAGTTCTGTAATAATTCCTGATACTCTAAAAATTTCTCAGAAGTGTTTCTTTCTACGAAGTGAGTTATTTTTTTCTAATGGAGAGTTGTGAGAATAGATCACTGAGTGATAGAATACACAAAAGTAAATAGAATACACAAATTTTTCAAAAGATCACGTAGACTCAGTGAAAGTAATATCTGAAGCAAACGGAGGAAGGACACGTGTCTTTGGTTTTCTAAAAAAACCCCCATTTTGTAAAAAATTTTTTGTTCTACAACGTATCAAACTTTAATAAAGGCTTTTTTTTGGTATCCAGAATTACGAAAAAGAAAAAATGTGAAATTGAAAAAGATCTGCTACTTTTATTGTAATCCCATGCATTTTTCACAACAAAATCGTTCTGAGGCGCCTTTGAAAGCCGCAGACGCGTGATGTAAAAACTCGATAAGCTTTAAATATTAGAAATTTATTACAAAATTTGTACTAGACTTCAAATTATTGACAAATTATTATTCTTCATATAAGAACTAGCTTTCATATGAGTGTCTTCCGCTTCCTGTATTTTATTTTGCTAAAACTATTCACTTGTATGCATTCTAGAGTCATCATAAAGTCTGAAAATCTATTCACCTGGCCAGCTGCTAGATTAAGACTTACCTAAAACTTTATATGTTTCTGAAGAATAACAATAAATAATACAAAAAAGGAATGACAAGTTGAGCACGTGCGACCAAGTACACTATGAGCATAATCTAAAAGTCTACGAAACCACGAAATGCAAGAAGTAAAAAACACTAAAATGGAAATTACTTCTTACAACTATGCAGGATAATAGTTTCCTAGCATTGTGAAGTGAAGTACAACTTTTCTAACAAATTTTCAACTAGTAAAGCACACAGGACATTGATAGCAGCTGTCTGCAACCTTCAAAAGCGGTCCAGGATGGTTTAGTCATTTAAAATACATAAATTCCATAAAAAACAATAGGTTTTTTTACAGTTTTGCATTTCATTCCGACTCGTAACTCTCGATACTAAAATATCGTTATTGCCGAAATTTGGTAATGTTGTAGAGCGAAAAATTTGACTCGAAATACATCTCTCTAAAAATTTAAAAAACACGTTTTTTGCTTCAAATATTACTCCTACAAAGCCCCGTGTGATTTTTTTACCACAATTATAACACTCAATTTTGTTCAGAAAATTTGAAATATAGAAAATCCAATAAATGATAAAGTTACTTTTTATTAAGTACATGCTAAATTACAAGTCCGCGAAGTCAGGCGTGTAAAGCGGCAACCTGGCAAATTTTGTAAGTTTGAAGGGATGTGACTCGAGAGAGAATTCATTTTTTCAGTTTTTTGTTTGGCTTTTTGTATAATGGCTTAGACTCTAATAATCAGCAAAATTTAAAAAAAAATCCGGGATACGCAGGAAAAGGTTGAGTTATCTTGCATAGACTGACTTATATATTTATATGTATATAAGCAAATTCAAGCGGTTCTTCACTTAATATCTCAGAATTATCTCAAGTTTTGTTGCCGCAGCATACGCGAACCTTTAAATATGATCAGATGACAACAGCTGTTCACCACCTGAAAAAGAGGCTTCGAAAGAGCGACAAACAGTAAAACAGAAAAGGCAATTGAAACACACGTCACAGCTACTTTCTTT